GGGCAGTGGCTGTCATCGCCATAATGGGCCTCCAGGTAAGCAGCAGTGCCGCATGCAAACTCAAGCCTCCACCCCCCTTCCCACCCCGCGTATAGTTGAATTTGCATAAGTTAAATATGCGTATGATGCGACTCCACTGTACCTGCCTCTCTGGCAGGGAAAGCTGCTGGCAGGCAGAGCAGCCCCTGGGCTTGGGGGCAGGGGTGTGCTTCCCTCCATGGCAATGGCAGCTCCCTCCCCCCGGCGACACCCACCTGACTCGAGTGGTCCCAGGGTGGGTACAGAGGGAAGTACTGGGGCCCCGCAGAGCTCAGGCAGGCAGGCTCTGGGGGGGTAGGGAGAGAGGGGGGAGATTAGGCTTGCCGCTTTTCTTGGGCCGAGCTGCTTTCCTGGGCTGCTGTCTGGCTGCCTCCAGGGCTTTCCTGTAGAGCTGTGGAACTGCACGGAGCCTGGTGCGTTGCTCTGTGGTTGTTGGGGCAGCAAACTAAAACTCCTCAGAGTTTTAGTTTTCTGCACCCCAAGTTATTTGAGGTGCATTACGCTGCCGAATTTCCTACAGCGGTTGGAATGAATGTGCAATACGCCACTGAGGCCTGCAAACACCAACACCATTAAAGCAGTGCAAAAGCATTTAGCCCACTTTAAAGTATCGTGCATGCCTCTCATTTAGTCTACACACGGTCCTGGACTGTATTAGCAGGAGTGTTGTCAGCAGACTGAGGGAAGTGATTATTCCCCTCTATTCTGCACTGGTGAGACCACATCTGAAATCCTGTGCCCAGGTTTGGGCCTCCCACCACAGAAAGGTTGTGGACAAATTGGAAAGAGTCCAGTAGAGGACAACAAAGATGGTTAGAGGGCTTGGGAACATGACTTCTGAGAAGAGGCTGGGGAAACTGGTCTTATTTAGTCTGGAGAAGAGAAGACTGCGGGAGGATTTAATAGCAGCCTTCAACTACCTGGTGGCTCCAAAGAGGATGGAGCTAAACTTGTTCTCAGTGGTGGCAGATGACAGAACAAGGAGCAACAGTCTCAAGCTGAAGCAAGGGAAGTTTAGGTTAGGTATTAGGAAGAACTTTCTTGCTAGGAGGGTAGTAAAACACTGGACCAGGTTACCCAGAAAGGTTGTGGAGTAGGCTACCCAGAAATCTCCTCATCCCTGGAGGTTTTTAAGACCAGGCTAGACAAAGCCTTGGCTGGGATGATATAGTTGAGATTGGTCCTGCTTTTAGCAGGTGGCTGGATTAGATGACCTACTGAGGTCCCTTCCAACCCTCATTTTCCATAATTCTAGGATTCTAACCCTGCCAGAATTATTGCAGGGTACACTGCAACAGGGGGGCAAGTGGCAAAGAGGCAGCAGGGGTATCACATGGTGAGGTGGTAGGTGATGGAGACAAAGACTGGAGGTCAGGCTGCCTGCCTCCCCACTGCTGCTTTTCCTGTTGCTTGCTGTCCACACTGCTGCTTTCCCCAGCTCGGGGGGAGGGGGAGGGGGAGACAAATTTAAAGAGACAGCTCTCTGATAATAACTTTCCATGTAAATAATGTAAAAAAAAATATTATTTTCCACACTTGGAATCTAATTATTTGGAGGAGAGGGGGACAGTGTCTTAAATTGAAACTCATCTTTAATTCAGGCAGTGTTAACATTTTCTCTTGCATACAGTACAGATATTTAAAGTGAAAGAATGGACTTTTAAGTCTGCCAGATCCCAGGAGAAAAGGCTCTCCCAGGAGGAATGCAACATCTGTTTATAGTCGCACATGTTTTCTGAAGTGAGAACTTAGACTTAAACCAGTCTTATAACGTGCAATAAAAATACAGAAGCAACAAGTTTTTCCAAAAATACCTGTTGTCTTATAAACATCAACCCTCCCCCTCAAATGACTCACCCTTCTGGATGCTGTAAAACAGAAACCATTAACTCTACCGCAAGGGCTCCAGCTATCATGGCTAACCCTGGTCGGCTGACCGTGCACTGCTGATCCAGTGTCCGATCCCTGGTGGACTACAAAGAAAGAAAATTCTGAAAAAGATGATACTTGAAAATACTTGGCTGTCTATTACATAGTTAAATATCTGTCATTAAATCAATACAACAAGTAAGTTCTCTCTTAGTATCAATATAAAGAATTTGTTGTTTTCAAATGTCATGAGTCACTGCAAATGAGGCTGCACAGAAGGGACAGTCAGTAACATAAAAACAGAAAACACATAAAAAGAATGCACAATAGCTGTTTGCAGAAAACTCCACTCACATCTCCTGGTGCCACAACATCATTGCAGAAATAACAGCCAAGCTTATAACCAGGGATATTTGAAAAGAGTGATGATCCCAAGAGATCAGCAGAGCTTGTGATACTACTGGAACATGAATCACCAGGTTCCTGCTGTTTCGGTTTTTTTAGTCCATGTCTCATCACAACAAATGTGTCAAATCCCAGTGCAGCATTGATGACCAACTATAAAGGAAGAAAACACGTAGTCAAAGGAAGCATAAAGAAAAACAGTCTACACATGTTGATTGTTATAAACAGAAATTTCTCTTTCTTGCAATAAAAATGTCAAGCTAAAGTTAATTGCTAAATTTACAACTTGACATTATTTAATTACTAAATTTATTTTAAAAGATATTTCCAGAAATACACTCAACATATTCATGAGTAATATACAAACAATATCTCCCATTACCAATAGGTGCCAACGTGAGACTTCCTGGACAGTGTGATTTCAGACTTCAAGCACCATGCAAATACTGTGCTCAAACACACGAGGGGCTGTGTTTTCTGTAGGAGAATACATCAAACAAGCTTTCCTATGGATGGTGTTATGTTTACTCATGCTTTAAAGATAAAAGGGGAAGAAATATAATAAACAGCTTTTTTCCCCAAATAAGTCACTCAGACAAATATTTACATCCAGTCTGGAAAAGGTTTGTTTTTTTAATGAAAAGTTATTCTAAAAATATATATATATATATCTGAAATAAGAGTGACACCAGGTTTCACTATTTGTATAAAAATGCTAACATACATGCTTTAAAAAATGTTTGGAGAAAAGCAAGCATGCGTGTCACTTCATTTGTAGTTTAACATCCCAGGGTATATCAATAGCAATATATTTCTGCATGCCTTTTAATTTTATTGTTCAGTTAAGGATAAATTTAGCAGGATTTCTTTCTGTCTGTCCATTACATATCTGGCTTGTTGAATAAATCAAGCAGGATACAACAATAATACAATTCTCTTTTAAGGGAGTGTATTATTCTGCAGGAGACTCAGGATTGTGTAGTTAAAGAGACCGTTGCCTTTAGAGCCCATGCTTAATTTACTGAGGAAGTTATATTATGAATGAGCCTGGGACCTTCAGGAAGATACAGGACAACTCAATTCTGTCCTGGACAACTGGATTATATTCCTGCGTGGATCAAAGAGCTCCTATGTCATGTGAGCCAAGTAGCAAACCTAACTTTCCACAGGTAGTCACTTATGAGTATGAGGAACATGAACTGAGTGTCCAACTTGAGACCTAGGGATATGAACTACAGAACTACTGAGCTCTCATAGATACAGCTGAAATCAATGGGAGTCATGCTCTGAACATAAGAAGTGCTATATTGTGTTAAATATTCTTTTAAAAAATAAAAGCAGAACTTTAGCATTTCAAATTGGACACTTAAAATTAATGGATACTTTAGACCTTCCTATGGCTGTGGATGCATGTTGTAGTGCTACAAATGAAAATATGCACACAACCTATGGTATAGTCTTTTTATGTAGCAGTTTCCCATCTATAAAGTAGAGGTTACAATGCTCTGATATGATAGGGGTTTTATGAAAATAAATGTATTAGTATTTGTAAAATAGTAGAACCATAGAAAATCAGGAGGCCATCTAGTCCAACCTCCTGCTTAAACCAGGACCACCCCAAACTAGATCATCTTGGCCAAAGCTGTCTAGCTGGATCTTAAAATCCTCCAAGGATGGAGATTTCACTATCTCTCTGGGTATCCTGTTTCAGTGCTTTACTACCTTCCCAGTGAGAAAATTCTTCCTAATAGCTAACCTAAACTTTCCTTGCTGCAACTTGGGACTGTTGCTCCTTGTCCTGTCATATGCCACCACTGAGAAGTCTAGCTCCATCCTCTTTTGAACCCCGCTTTACATAGTTGAAGGCTGCTATTAAATCCTCCCTCAGTCTTCTCTTTCCCAGACTAAATAAAACCAGTTCCCTCAGCCTGTCCTCAGAAGTCACGTGCCCCAGTTCCATAACCATTTCTGTTGCCCTCCGCTGAACTCTCTCCAGTTTGTTCACATCCTTTCTGTAGTGGGGGGCCCAAAACTGAACACAGTACCCCAGATGTGGCCTCACCATTGCTGAATAGAAGGGAAAAATCACTTCCCTTGACCTGCAGCCAACATGCCTACCAATGCAGCCCAGTATGCCATCAGCCTTCTTAGCAACAAGGGTACACTGCTGGATCATATTCAGCGTACTGTCCACCATAACCTCCAGGTCCTTTTCTGCAAAGCTGTTGCCCAGCCAGTCAGCCCCCAGCCTGTACTGGTGCCTGGGATTGTTCTGTCCTAAGTGCATGACTTTGCATTTGTCCTTGTTGAAGCTCAGGTGATTTCTTCTGGCCCAGTGCTCCAAATTGTCTGGGTCACTCTGAATCCTAAGCCCTACCCTCCAGCGTACCCTACTCCTCCCAGTGTGGTGTCTTCTGCAAGCTTGCTGAAGGTGAACTCTATGCCATCTTCCAGTTCGTTGATGAAGACTGTGGCCAGGTAGAGGGGCAGAGGAGTCCAGGAGAGCTGGCTGTACTTTAAAGAAGACTTACTGAGAGTCCAGAAACAAACCATCCCAATGTGCAGGAAGACTAGCAAGTATGGCAGAAGACCAGCTTGGCTTAGCAGGGAATTCTTCAGTAAACTAAATCATGAAAAGGAAGCTTATAAGAAGTGGAAACACGGACAAACAAGTAGGGAGGAGGATAAGAGTATTGCTCAGGCATGCAAGGATGAAGTCAGGAAGGCCAAAGCGCAATTGGAGTTGCAGCTAGAAAGGGACGCGAAGGTCAACAATAAGGGTTTCTACAAGTATGTCAGAAACAAGATGATCAGGGAAAGTATGGGCTCCCTGTTGAATAGGGGAAGCAACCTCGTGACAGAGGATGCAGAAAAGGCTGAAGTACTCCATGCCTTTTTCACTTCAGTCTTTACAGGCAAAGTTAACTCCCAGACTACTGCACCTGGCAGCACAGTTTGGGGAAGAGGTGAGCAGCCAACAGTGGCACTGGCAGCAGTGGCAGCGGTGACAGCAGCTGAAAGGTAAGCAGGGCGGAGGGGTGAATGCAGCTGCAGCGGATCCAGAGGGAAAGCCCTCGGATCCCATTTAACAAGAACAGCAGGGAGCCGCGCTCCTGAGCCACGCGCAAACAGGCACACAGGCAGGGGGCAGGCAGGCTAGGGAGAACTTCCCCTGGCAGGAAAGGGGACTGCCCATCGGGAGATCCTGGATGATCCCAGTGGCAGGCTTCCCCTGTGGGAGGGGAACCCAGGGGGAGGGGCGACCAACAGGCTCTACTGGGGAAGCCCAGAACAGCCTGATTGGCTGCTGCAGTTAACACAGGAAATTCAAACTGGAGGCTTTTAAAAGCTGTGGCAAGCTTCAGCCCGTGGCAGTCGGGACCGGGAGAATGAGCAGGCACATGTGTGCAGCAAGTGCACGTGTGCCCTCGACACACTCACCCGGAACTGGCACTGGCACCAGCAGTGGCAACAGCAGCTGAAAGGTAAGCAGGGTGGAGGGGCGGGCGCAGCTGCAGCGGATCCAGAGGGAAAGCCCCTGGATCTCATTTAACAAGAACAGAAGGGAGCCGCGCTCCCGAGCCATGCGCAAACACGCATGCTCTGTAAGGGCATGCCAGCATTTGTGCTGGTGTTCGCGCAAGGTGGGCAAGCAGGAGGAGCCAGGTCGGAGGCTCTGGCAGGGGAGAGAGGAAGACACTTCATTCTACAATAATGGTAAGGACGCGGCGGGCTTCCAGGGACCCAGCCCCAGTGACGCTGCCTGCCTAGGGCTCCTCTGAGGCCTCTACCCAGTGGAAACCCACAAGGAGGTTAGAGCCACCCTCCCCCCACTGTCTGTGGGGGCTGCCTGGCGGGGACTCTGCGGCCTGGGGGTGGGGAATGGGGAGCGGAAGGTCCCTCGTCTGTCCCATGTGTGCCCACCTTCAGGCCCTGGAGGGGCAGGTGAGGGAACTCCAGGCGGAGGTCAGCAGGCTGAAGGGAATCAGGGCTGCCAAGGATGAAACTGACAGGTATTTCCATTCTCTGCAGGGTTAAGTACCCAGTGGAGAGGCACCCGGGAGGAACCTGACGCAGCGGTATAGCAGACAGTTACCACCAGGACCAGGGCTACTTGTGCTGCCGCAGC